CTGTTGTCCATTCCATTGTGTTGCGTTGCAGTTTCGCCGCAACATTCAGCCAGCCTCCTAGTCAACCTCTCCCTCTTTCTTTCTCTTTCTCTCTCTTTCTTTCTCTCTCTCTCTCTTTCTTTCATTTTTTTCCTCTTTTTTTGTTTTATTTTTTAGGTGCTTTTTGTCTTTTTTCTCACTTTCTTACTTTTAGTATCTGTCTCCCAACTTGCTCATTGTATTTATTGTATTGCAGCAAAAGAAAAAAGAAATGAAAAAGAGAGACAGATAGATAAACAAAGAGAGAAAGAGAGAGAGAGAGAGTCAGTCAGCCAGACTGCATGTTCTTTTATACTTGCTTCGCCAGGCATGCTGAATTTATTTGACGTTGCAAGAAAGGTACCAAGTAAAAAACATTATGTTATTGTTATTAATGTCGTAGCCGTTGTTGTTGTTGATGCCTTTTGTTGTTGTCGATGCTTTAGTGTTGTTGTTTATGTCGTTTTTGATGTTTTGCTGGTAGTTTTTATTAATGTGTTTTTTTAATGTAACACATGTTGTAGCAGATGATGTCATTTTTGGCGCTGTTTTTGTAACGTAGTGTAGTGTTTCTATTAAACAAATTCTAGTGATTTATTTGGTCTTTCTGGTTATGACTATGGTGTTGTTGTTGTTGTTAATGTAGTGTTGTTATTGTTGTATTGTTGTGGTTAGTAGCGGTTATGTTACTGTCGCTCCTACAGCAATTAATCTATACTGTTGTTAGAGTGCTTGATTGATTACCTTGGCGATATATCTTAACAACCTCGTAAAATTAATTCTACTTCTCTCACATGTTTTTTAATAAATTGTACAAAACCTCATAAAATAATTTATACAATTTGAAATAGAAATAAAAGAGAAAAACCTTAAATCCGTAAGGGAAATTTTTAAATAGAATTTAATTAAGAACTCGGAAAGCCGATAAATGCTGAGTAAAAACACATGAGAAAAATTATGAAAAAGTGAAGAATTTTTTAGAGAAATATGATACAAGAGATGGCAAGTTGATCAGATTAATCATACAGAGGCAAGCTGCGTTCGTTTTCTTCAGTTTCACTTATAATCTTTTTTGTTGTTCTTTGGTTTTTATTCTTTTAAATTATTATTTTTCATTTCAAAGTGTTTTTTTGTTTTTAAATATTTTATCTTTTATTCGTTATATCATATCTATCGTTATCTATCTATCTGTCTGTCTATCTATTGATCCAGTCTCCATCTATCCGTCTATCCATCTATCCATTCATCAATCCATCCATCCATCCACTCGTCTATTGTCCATCCGTCAATTAATCCGTCTGACCATCCATCTATCGATCCATCGATTCATCGATCGATCCATCCATCCATCCATCCACCCATCCATCCATCCATCCACCCATCCATCCATCCATCCATCCACCCATCCATCCATCCATCCATCCATCCATCCATCCATCCATCCATCCATCCATCTATCTATCTATCCACCTATCCTTTCATCTCTTCATAATAGGATTGCAAATAGTCATAATTTATTTTTCCATCCAATCATGCGTCACGCTATCACTTCTTAATCCATCCATTCATTTATTTTCGTCACTCGATGTAGCGAGGCGTTCACTCGTGCGGCTAATTTCTTAATGCCCCTCGGTGCATTTGCGCTTTTCTTACCATCATTCCTTCATCGAGTTTTTTCCTTTCTTTCGTTCTTATATCTTTTTGTTGTTATTCATTCGTTTGTTCATTCGTTCGTTCATTCATTCATTCATTTATTCATTCATTTATTCATTCATTTCATTCATTCATCACATCAGTTTTTCCTTAACACGACGAATAGGAAAAAATTATTTTTAAACTCAAAAATGAAGCGTCCATTTTAAATCCCAACAACAACAACAATAATAATAATATAATAATAAAAAAAACAAATAAACGAAAACAAAGATAAAAAACAAAACAAAAAAATACAAAAAATAATAACCAAAAACACAAAATAATAATTAAAAAAAGGGATCTGAAAATTTCTTTGAAAAGCGGAAAAAACGAATAATGAAAAATCAAGTGGCCATCAATCATTTTAATGTTTCAATGAAACGTGGAATAAGATTCTGCAACATGAATGAATGAATGAATGAATGAATGAATGAATGAACGAACGAACGAACGAACGAACGAACGAGTAAATGGATGGTTTGGTGAATGTATGGATGAATGAATGAATGAATAAATGAATGAATAAATGAATGAA